CAACAGTCGAAATCGACGTCACGCGTGGCCTAACTTTAGGATAAGACATTTGTGTTTATTAAGTAGCAAGCTGACGGGAAATGTAAGGGGGTTTGACAACAGTTAGTCCAACTATGAGGTTCCTGGTCATAACTAGATGAAACCTGCTCGTCGCCGGTCCACATTTACCACCAAAAACTGGGAAGCCGCAGTGGCAAGAATCGGTATAGAATGACCTGTAATGTCCCGAATGGGAACGGTGGCTCTTGATACGTCAGATGAAAGCATGACTTGTCGTACTGTCCATCACCAGATTGTCAGATAATGCATTTCGTCAGCTGGCTTAGGCAGTCCTAATTTAATGGCTGGGAAAAACTGAGTCGAATGGCGTTCACTAACATTTCTTTAAGTACGAAAATGTCTCCGACTATTCAGGGTTTTAAACGTTTGAAAACCGTTTGAATGTGGTTAGCCTTTGTGATATCTGGAATACACATGCATCATGCTATAGTGCAGAAGCGGTTCCCACAAGGAGCACGAGTTACAAGAGTGGCATCGAAGGTCCTCTCCGTTCTCCGACGGTTGAGTGAACACAGGGAGATGCAGATGCGCGAACACCAAGCTGGGTTCCGTCCTGAAAGAGGGTGCACCGATCATATCTTCACCATTCGACTGATTCTGGAACTGTGATACTGCTTCCAGTAGCCAACAAAGGTTGCCTTCCTTGATATGAGAGCTGTCGCTGACTCTGTGGACACTATGGTAGTGTATGGAAAGCAGAAGTGTCCCGAGTGCGTTCTTGAACCTACCCGTAAGTAAGCTCCTGTGGACGCATCAGTGTCTACAGTGAGCCCTTGGCTGAGTACATCACATCAACTGGTGTCGGTCAACGCTGTCTTGTTTCACCTTTCCTCTTAAAATTCGTTGTGGATACGATTATGGAAGACTCACTCCCAGTATCTATTGCCGTCGAAATGTTCCCTGGGCGTTCGCACACAGGTATAGAGTACGCAGAAGATATAACTCTTCTTGGATCCAGTGCCGTGTTAATGTAAACAATAATAAGTAATCTAAATAATTCTGCCTCACATTTCGGCAAGGGCTTCACGTCTGCGAAGTGTGAAGTGCTGCTGTAAGATTGAGTGGGCTCGGACACTAACCTCATGTTTGCAGATGAGCCGATTGAGGTATCACACAAAATTGTCTACTTTGGTGTCTGTATCAGTACCGGTGGTCTCGCGAGAGATGATATTGCCACCTGGAGTGAGAAGACCAGAGCAGCATTTATGAACTGTATTACCTTTGGCGTACGTGTGATATGAGTTCATTCGTCAAGAGTCGAGCTTGCAATGCTGTGGCACGCTCTATATTATTAAACGGGTCAGAAACCTGACGGCTGCGCGTTGAGGATCATCGACCATCGATGTCTTCGGAGCATTGCCCGAGTCTGGTTGAAACACAGGATCAGTAATGTTGAGGTACGTCAAATGGTATTCAGAAAAAAATAACTCGCCCACGCTAGCTCAACTGGTCACCCTGCATAGGTTGGGCTGTCTTGGCCACGTGCTCCGTATGCAGTTGACGGACATCTTCAAAGGTTTATTTTTGCAGAACCACAAGAGGGGTAGAAACGAGCCAGAAGAGGTTATGCAAAGACTCGAAGTGCGAAAGCCAATACCAGCAAATTCAGATGCGCTGGTCAGTGTCGTCTCCCTGAATGGGGACCTCGAGATGGACCATTGTCAGACGTGGCCCAGTCACACTCGCAATGAAGCTCGTGAATCCAAGCTATTGCCTGCAATACATAGTCGCCTCCCCAATATCCCATTAACAGTCTACTGACAGTCCTTTAGTTACGCACCAATTTATCAGCTCCCACCTATCCCACCCCAAATACCCAGTGAAGGAAACTGTGGTATCTACAACTACTGTACGACAAGTACGCGGTTCTTACAGCTGATAATGGCGATGATTCTTGGGATTATCAATGAATAAATTTGGCACTGACTTCAAAAGTTGTAGGTTTATCATGATGAATCAAGGCCGATTTGAGTTTTGAATTATCACTCGTAATAGGAGATCTAGAGTGACCTGTTCTCCAGTGGAATTGCTGAAGAACGCCATCTCCGCATCATCAGGTAGGCTTTCCCACCTTACGCACCATGTTTCGACCAACCCACGGTAAAATCTAGCATTTTCAGCAAGTTTCTTCATATCCAACATTTTGGGATTCGCTAATGTAATCGGAACAGTTACAATTGGAACGGAGCAAAGTTGCAGGAATATGTTAGCATCTAGGACCTGAACTTGCAGGAGTGAGTGCCAAAAGTAGCATTAGGTTGTGCAGTTGAATTAATTCTAATATAAAAAATATCCACAGCATGACTGTGCAAGCTCAACTATTATCTATCAATCTCAAAAGCAATGCAACTCGTCCGACGATCAATCATGCAACGCATCCGTTCAGGCAAACACCACTCCCTAACCAATGCACTCAGTCCTACCAACCAAATAGATGCATACGAATGTATGGTACTTGTGCCCTCTGCGAAACAGCCCACAAGGTCAGATAGAAAGCACACAACAATGTGTATCGAAAATATATTGAACGAGTGAAGTAAAAGCCCTGGCCTGGGTTAGACCAAGTTACAACGTAGCAAGTCCAACTGATAAAACATAGCCTCTCAGGTCATGCACACAGCACGTGATGCAGGGGCTGCGCGGCCTAATAAGAACAATCAATATTTCTCGGCACTCGCATATGTTCATGTTAATACGACTCGACTAAGTTAAAGCAAAACGTTTTTGCTAACAACCCCTTCACGGTCGAAGAATCGGATTCATCGCTGTTAAATAGAACTTGAACGTGAAACTCTCAGCAGAGGGCCAAGTATGGAACGCCACGTGTCTGGCTTGACACATCCTCTACACTCATGGTTACCAACTGGTCAAATGTATCTCAAAGACAGTGTCCAGTATCAGAAACCCGTGAACGGCAACGTTAAGACAGAACCTACGAAAAAGTAGCCTCAGACGATGCCTCTAAAAGCAAGTTAATCATATGAGGAAACATTTAAAAATATAGTGATTTCTACACAACCTTCGGACCGAGATTGAATATCTCTCAAGCCTTTCATCGAGGTGAGGTGTCAAGGTGAACCAATGTGCAAATTTTTTGTGCGACAGCTCCGAGAGCATTTAAGCTCTCCACCAGCTTTCAAACACGGTTGATTATGCGATGAAAACCTGATCTCTTTCAGCTGGCAGTTGCAGGCGATGTTCCTTTGCGTAGCGTTTGTAGGTTTACCTGAGTGATCACAAACCCTGTGAAACTTAGTGTAGTTTGGCGGACGCACTACTTTAGTAAGTCACACGACGCAAGTCCAACTGTGTGCGGCTAGCTACCTTACTGTTCCTCAGAGTCATCAGACCACGGACGACAATTTGCTTAGAGACCTCGGATCTTCATTACTGCCTAATAAAGTGATGATGGCGCTCATTTTGGACGTAAAAAGTCTGTATTCCTTAACTGTCAGCCGTCTTTGGACTAAGCGTGTGTGCAAGCGTCACCTCAGCAGACCAAAGATAAACACATAAAGACGCTCAACTAGATACCATAAATCTATCGAATATCAGTGCCGAATTCCGACACTCAAACGGATTTCTATGATGGTTTATCCACTCGATCAAATGCTAAACAATAGTGCTGAACTTTTCGGAGGTCAATATTGGCTTGAGGGGCTTCCTTTGGGGTCCACATAGGAGCAGCTTTGAGTACACCTTCCCCATCCCCATGGTTAGTTATTCACCAAAGTTACAAAAGACGGATCGCTTCAGAGTTTACCCAACACACTTCCACCATATACACTTGTGTCTTAGGACCAGGTGGATTGGCTTAATTACAGAGTTCGAGCTCAATTGCATACCAACCTAGCTTTCACAAGAGACTCACACGAACCCCAGATGCATCTTTCGTTTAAGTTGTTCTTCTTCAGTATATCCAATTTCCCGACCGACCTGTTGGAATCTTGTGTGGCCGCCCGGAGTTTGGCAGGATCACTCTAACAGTGACAGATCATAATGTGACTTGGATTTAAGAATGACACCAGTGAAAACACGTTCGCATGCATGCTACACGGGCAGGTTGACCCGGGATGAGTTCGTACTTGCCATTCGCGCCTCACCCAGCACGAGTAGACGCCATGTACAATCTTGGTCGTGCGCTGATTGCTATCTGGTGGTCGATCTATCCGATTTCTTGGCTTACGATTTTGCGCCACCTCTTCACCCAGGAAGTGATTCTCGTTTCCCTTTGTCTAAGTTAAACTTTCCAACTGCAGCTGAAGTTGAAATATAGGTTAGTTTGAAGGTGGTGTTTATAAGAAAGCGTTCAGCTGTAGCACCCTTCCGGTGCCTAGCTGCCATGCCACCTGAAGGGAGCACGAGTGCTGGGATACTGCCAGGTTGCCAAAGCCCATATAGGGGAAGTCGAGAGGCAGAGGTCGGGTTCGAACCACGGACCTTCCAGTTAGTAGATTCGCGCTCTAACCACCTGAGCCATCTCGCCCCGCCACCTGAGCGATCCCGCCCCACCACCTGAGTCTGTTGGTGTTTATAGGTCTGAAACAATCACTTTTGAAGCTGATCCTCACCGAACGAACCGGAAAGTCGCTGAGGCAGCAACTAGGAATGCCATTCACACTCATGTCACTTTGGCCAGTTTCTTGTAGAACAATGAAAACAAGGATATAATGGTCCGAATTCGACCGAATGTTTAAGTGTACGGTTGTGGAGTGGTGTTAGGCACAATCTATTTCAACCTTTTATCAAGAGCATTTCCCCCATCACAAAACCATTGGCCGGTCCCGTGAGTGTCCTTTCTAAGGAGAAATCACCCATGCCAAATGTTTTACTTGCGAACAATTATCATCGATTCAGTGACTTACATGTTTTCTATCTTTGGATTTACCCCCGCTTCGAACGGTGGACTGAAATGTGGTCTATTACAACCGTTGTTACAGGACCCTGTCGAAGCTATGCTGAACGAGTAAGTTGCTACATAAATATTGCAGCGCTGAGCTGTCAGTAATTCGTACTTCGGTTTTCCACTCTGGCATGTCTCAACTGCCATTATTTTGAACACATGAAAGAGTATGCTTGTTCTATACACTATTAACATCTCGAGCAAATGACCAGAACTTCAAAATTATCGAACACATGCGGTGAAATGATGTGTTACGCAAGGCTCGATCGGATGGGTTTAGATAGCTGATGGTCCTTACAAAATCTTCACATAATCCCCAGGAAACTGAACAAAATTCAACCATTGGGTTGATAACTGCTTCGTTTCATCGCCGTAAATGTGAATTCTAATGCGGTAGACAGTCCACTTGGATGTGGAGGTTCCGTTGTCTGATGAAACATCTTTGTTTGCCATCAGGGCTGGTACCAGTTATCAGTGTAAGTCAATCATACGATCGTGTGAACACGATCAAAATCAGCAATAGATATGGCTGTTAGCCCAGCTGTTCACGAGATGATTTGCCACACTCTATCGACCGAGGACACAATGTAAACTGAAGTTATGTGCGGGCCAGTAATTCTCATTCAGTACTGCCAAAGCATTACCGTTCATCTTGGTCGTTTCACTGTGAAAACAGACGTCATCTAAGGACACGATGGACTGGAATGGGGTTTATTGATATAAATAGACTGCATGATGTACAACTGCCTAACAAGAGAAAACTATCGTGATGTATGCAGCGAAGAGATTATATTTTACTATAAAGCAGAAGTCACCGGTATTGAGAGACATTTCAAAACACTTTGTCGACTTCATCAGGACAGTCCTAAGGCATAATTTGCGAGGTGATAAAAAATACTCTGCTCAGTCACCGAGACATCATGATATAATTTCTGTACTTGGTATGATACTTGTGAGGTTACTGATAACTGACAACCCATAGCTCTTTTCAAAAATCTTAGGGCCCATCAAGTGGGCTTAGTCCCGAGCTCTCGTCTCCATGTGTTCTGCCTCAACACTAAATTGTACAGGACTGGCGAACCACACCTCCTTTGTGTTAACTAAAGACTCAACTGAGCCCCAGCTGTATCTTCTTCCAGTGAATGTCCTAAAAACGGACCGGCTCATGTTTCGGTTAAAACGGCCTTCCAGAGGTTGTTCTTGACGGAACATACTACTACGCCAACCTGGTGAGCCACAGAATGGGCGAAACCTGTAGCGGGGCGCCGAAGAGTTTTCAGCGACCCTATGGGTGGTGCGTTGTGGAGATTATTATTTGAAATATCCGGCATCATAGATAAGAATTAAAGTGTAATAAGCATATCGCATGTAGAGAGGTGCATGAGAAATACAGTCGGAGATATGTATCTCATTCTTTGCCAGAAGAATAGCAGCTTGGCATGAAATTATTGGGCTATCGGCCGTCCATTTGGCTGTAGCGGTTCTCTTGTATTCAGAACGAATGTTTATTTTGCTAAAGAAAGCAAGATTCCTCAATCATAATGGTGGAATTCAATGCAAATTAGTCTGAGTTAATACTAGCTTTACTAAAAAAAAATGGTTGATTGTCTCCACATGTTTAATTTTGCTTCCTACAATCAAGTACAAAATTAGATTGAGGAACATTTACGCGTGTGACCGAGCTGACGAGCTTGAAAAGGAGCAAAACCGACAATGGACTGATCTGCATTTCCATCAACTTTATGGGCGGTGTCTCACCAAGGATGATGATTAGCAGTTTCGCATGATGAGATATTGCTAAAAGAAGATTTAGAGTCAAGGCGGGGCATTTTTTATGAAATATTCATCAAACATTCAAGGGGATCCTTTAACCACGGTTGAGTTAACGCCTTCTGAGTTAGGTCCACAATAACTGTCAGTAACCAACGGATTTAGGGCAGGCACAGTTTTTTTTTGGTTTGAAATCGATTTTACTGGTATGTCGCTTTTTTGTGAACCTCTTATTTGAGGTGTTTGGGTTCAGTCGAGTTTGTATTTGGCCTGTGGAAAAACATTACGCATCTTAACTAGCTTCAGATATGTTGCCACGTTTCCGTACCAAAGGTATGTTGTTTCGGAAGTATGTCTACTCTGGATTCCCCTGTATCAGTAAGGCTGCCAGCCACTCCGAAGATATAATCCGTCTTGTCTACTACGAGCACTTCCGTTATTTTGTCTGGTTCTGGTAGTAAGACCAGGTTGTCCATCGCGTGTAACTCCTTCATTGTTTTCTAGTGTCTAGGTTTTAGACAGACACTCGCGTAGTATCAAGTAGCATCTAATATGCGCTATTCATGAACATGGTGACTTGAAGTGATAACATAACGTAAATCATACTGTCAGAACAGTATAAACAAGAGATGTAGTAGAGAAACCAGTATAATGAAAACGACCGTCCTTCGCCTATTAATTTCTGGATGTTTTTTTGTCCGGTAAGCTAGTCCGAAAAACATATCCATAACTCCAACAAGTAGTCTTCAAACCCGCTTTTTCGTGCAGTATATGTGGGCTCAGACGGTTTGTGCATTAGCGCTCTAGTTGTAACAAACTTGACTTGCGTATCAGAAAGTGACAAGAACTAATAAATGCCTGTTTAACCAGAATGACGATGAGTACAGTAGTTAGGTGCATCTGGATAAGCAAAGCGAAAAGTGGAATAAGCCAAAAAGTTACTTGTCGTTTGCGGACAGCTGTTTAGAGTCCCTGGGTGAAGTTGCGGACCTGTTTTCTCTGCAGTGTAGCTGCTACATGCGTGCTCTTTAGTTGTCCGTGGAAATCGGTTGACTCCTTGTCCTGTGCGCGTGTTTGTGGTGGACCAAGTTGCATACCTATTAATCGGGTGCACATGGCTTGTTTCGACTCACACCAGACCGCACAGACACTCAAAGGTCAAATGAGCCGTGATTGCGTGGCGTGATTTGTGCGTGTAGGACGAAAAACGAATTTCGTGGTCTAGTCAGCGACTGTTTGAACTGTCTCATCGAGTATGTGAGTGAACCGGACTGCCTAGCTAAATTTCACCTGTCCTTGTGCCCTGGGTTTATGCCGTGTTAGGATTGCAAAGGTTACTGGACCAGTCCCGCGGATAGGATCTTACTCTAAAGCGACGGTGATATCCGAAGGTGCGGATGGTTTTCCTTAAGGAAATAGGGATTTTTCGAACTAAATCCCCACGCTTCCCTTCTCCTTCCACTCTTTATTAAGGCTTTCTTCCCTTATGGTTGTACAGTAAATAAGGACCAGCATTTACTACTGATGAATTGCTGTCAGTAATGACGATGAAGTCGTCCTCTGGGGAAATGTGGAACTGTTAGGATCAGCTGTGATTTGTGCGAAAAATTCGACGCACGCTCTAGAACGAACAAAAGCCACCTCCTACTGCTCAGTAAACATGAATCACATGACGTCAGAGTTTATTTTACTCTTTAAGAGCTAGGATAGTTAGAAGATGCAGACCATGTCCAACAACTTATTAATAATGAAGTTGAAAGTGTTAATTAGTCGCCACTTCACCTTATCTGAACTGTAGAAGTCTACTCAACTGGCTTTGAAAACCCTGGTGCATACAGTGTGTTCTGGAGAACCCCGTTTCATTATGAGCTAATCTGTAGTTGTTTGGACTTCGGTTACGTAACATCAGACCAGGTGGCTAATCTGGATGTTGTATAGGGCTTATTGATGGAGTTAGTTGCGGTTACGTAACCGAAACCTAAAGGTTCTATGAATCAGTTAAACTTTAACAACCCTATCATTGAAGCCACAATACAAAACAACCTGCCTACAACCAAAGCAGCAATGAAATATTGGAACGCAGCCAAACCAATTTTGAGACAACACAAGCTGCTGTCTCGCCCCAATTTGACTTGTGAGCACAAGCTCTGTTAGTATTAGTTGATCAATATCGTCTCCGTGAACGCTAGGAATATCATACTAATATTGCACAGTAGAACACTAAAAGCCTCTTTGGGATCGTCCGTGACCTGCAGTTAGCTTGAGACTGATCAGTTGAGTTTCCGAGGTTCAGTATGTGGTCCAACGTTTGGTCACGATCAATCACCTGACTCAAACAGCGTTTACCTGACCTCCTGTCTGTCCCGTCAGCGCAAGTTCCAAGGCCAAAGCAAATGAAAACGTACGCATGAGGCAGTGGTGCTAGGTGTATTACGCTTTTGAATCGAGGACTGGTTTGCCTCGGTAAGGAGGCCAGCATTAGCTGAACTCCTAGATTCGTACGACTACCATTGTCTTGTAGTTTGTGCATTGTTTCCAGAGCCAAATTATCCCCTCTAAACTGTAACATGGGGAAATCTTCGTTCTTGTGGAGTAGAGTACAGTTTAGTTTGTCGCTTACCATGGACAATGTTAAGTTTCTTATGATAGCCGTTCGAGAGTATGGACCTCATTTGGAATTTCATTCGGATGTAACTGAAGTCCGAGGATACCATACACGCAGGCTCTTTATTATTCTCAGTTCAGCGTTTTCTTCCTCGTGAAATTAAATTTTTGGGTACTTCCCGGTTCATATGAGCTTATGACACACTGAATGTCAGTCAGAAGTACAATTAAGGAGTCTAATTGTAAAAATATACATAACGCGATGTTATTTTTCCAAGTATGATGTGACTTATCCACGTGATTTTCATTGAAGTAGTTACAGTGAGAACGGCCTGCAGAGATCAACATATCATCTGTAAAGGATTTGGAAATTGTTGTACTGAAAGTGTGTTTACAACTAACGTTCGGTCATTCTTGAATAAACGCATGCTAATATCGACTCGAGCGAGGTAACTACTGCCAAGCCGTCCATCAGCTTATATGCTTCACCTTTTAATCACCAACTCAACAAACATACCACGAATATTTCTCGGGATGACCATCGTCAAGTTGCAACAACTCATATCGGGTGGTTGCTTCAAACTCGACTCGCTCAAAGACAAAATCGTTTCCAAACCAACGGCTTTAACCGTGGAAGTTGTGTCAATTAGAATCCAAATGTGGAACGAGAAACTTCATCCCGTTCCTAG